GTGCGAGACACACCTAGGTCAGCAGGAACCAGGCTCTGTCCTCCTCTAGCTTCCAAGGCGTTGTACTCCCTGCCATCATTGTTCTCGTCGAAGAAGATCTTGAACCACTGGAGGAAGGTCAGAGCCACGGCCGAGTTCCTCTTCATCAGCGGCTCGATGGGGATGTGCTAGGCAGAGCAACAGAGGATCTTTAGGTGCGTGTTTCCATCAAAGAACGAGCGCTAAGTCACCCTGTTTCTAACACAGGCGTGCAGCGAGCACTCGCTTTAACGCCGGGACCTGAAAGCGCAGCAACACTCACTCTGATCACTCCGGCCTTCCTGAAAGCCGCCTGCAGCAAGGTGAAGTTGTGCAGAGAGTGCATGATGGTGTCGCACTGGAACTGGACCCTGGAGAGGTCCAAGGAGCCAGGAAACAGCCAGTCCATCAGCTGGCAATAAGCCGCACCTGGATACAAACAGGAAGTACTACACATCATTTACGTCATTAACACGGCTTTATCTTTACACTGATCAAACTGGCTTTTCCTCGTTGCCTGTCAGATATGTCCTGTTCCTGTTGCAGGGAAACGAGTCCTCGTCAGAGGGACAGCTCAGAGTCAGAGTCAGTGCAGAGGACGGAGGCTGAAGATGAAGCCGCCAAGCAGGAGGAAAAGAGGAAGACCTCAGGGGAGGTTCATGGATGTAGAAAAGGAGGACAGGCAGAGGGTTGGTATGACAGAGGAGGTGGAGGCAGATCATCCACTGTGGAGACCCCTAAAGGGAGCAGAGTCCAAGAGTCCAAGGAAAGGAGGAAAGAACAGGAGTGGTGTGCGAGCGCCTGTTGGTTTCTGTCAGCAGCCCAGCTGCTGCACTCTGGGCCAACCACAGATGGGCTCAGGAGGACGGAGAACTCCACGTGAGAAGTAAGGCGGAGGCTGTTAGCAACGTACCAGCATCAGCCATGCCTGTTAAAACACACCCACCTGTGCATGCCTGCTCCACCTTGGTGAAGCTCGTCTGTAAGGTTTCGTTTAGCCACGCCAGCAGCTCGTAGCGGTTATACAAAAACGTCCCGTTCAGGGTCACGTGCACCGCCATCTCCGAAAGGCACCTGCACACACATCACAATGTTTTTAAAATCATACATCAATGCTGCAGCCCTGCACAGACTGGCGACCTGGCCAGGCTCTACCCCGCCTTTAGCCCCATGATAGGCTCCGGCTGGAGGGATGATACATGAGGCAAAACAAATATTACTGAGGCAAGAGACACAAGAGCCTGATGAAGTCAGAGTGACATTTACACTCATGTAGTAATATTTTCCTGTAAGGCCCCAAAACGAGCCCACGTGTTTGCACACATGTCTGTCCAGAAGGTTTACTAACAGTTTGAAAGAGCCCGATCCGCCTCTGCAGACCTCCGTCACAGCGTCACGGACACCGGGGTCACACAGTGCTGCTTCAGGGACTGACTTCTTCCTCTGTAACAACTTCTCCGTGAAAGCGTTGCATTTAGGGTCCCATTAAAATGTCGTTTACCTCACATTCAATCTATAGAGTGGAAACGAACGGAATGAACACGAGCGTATTCTAGGCGAAGTTGGAATTCCCGAGTTTCCAGCCGGAAACTGTAACGTCCCCTCAAGTCTAATTTCCAACTCGGCGGAGCCCTGCCCACCCCGAGTTAACGATCATGGCTGCGTTTACGTGCGAAAACAAAAACACTTCGTTGTATTGCTAAAGACGCAATCTTGCGACAGACAAAACCTTAACACCGGGACGCACGCATCGGAAATTCCAAAGTTACGGGAACGCAGCACACATCCACAGTGGCCTCTACACCAATCAGAGCAGAGCGGGGGTTATTCTAGCCAATAGAATCAATGGAAGCGGCACCGATGCGCTCTTAAATTTGCTTCCGGAAACTAACACGTGGGGCTGCCGTCGGAATAAAAACAATCTGATCTCAGGTCAGCTGGAGTCATGCTGGCATGTGTGATAAAGTACGGCTAACAATAAAATAGGAACTACAGCAGTTAACGGCAATAACGCCGCTACCGTTTATAAATTGTCTCGGAGTTTAAGCGGTCACTCGGTGGTCAGCTACTTTTGTTCACATCCCTACTTTCATTCAGCTGACTTTACTCTGAGATCCCAAAAAGATGATTCTGTTCATCTGGACGTTTTCAGTGGGAAAAACGTTTCGTCACACATCCAAGTGCCAGATAGTTTCCAACCTTATAAACAGCACTTTTGCACAATGCCTTAAACTAGCCCACTGAACGAACAATGGCTGTGAGGTCAGCTACATGATCACCATTTACTCAGAGACTTTAATAACACAGCGAGATATCCGCATTAGCTCGCGACGCTAACTCACAACATCAGTACAAGTTTACAGCAAAGTCACAAACGGCCTGTGCGCTCCCGACGGTTTATTCTAGAAGAAATGCACAGTTTTAGTTTAAAATCATGGTGAAACCTTTAGCAAATTCATGCAACAAGCGGCTAACAAACATGGTGGACTTACCTTCTCTGCTCAGCTCGCTCTGACCGATTCAAATACCAAAGAAGTCAGCCTCGACGACCCCCAAAACCCACCCAGCCCTCTGCCGGGAAAAAAAAGCGGGTGTTTGACCAAGTCACTCAATTTAAAAACAGCCAGAAGTGTGAATAAAATAAAGGCCCACGCCCTTTAACACCACAGGGGTCGAAATTTAACTTTAAATACCAGCTAGCCAAACTCTTTGGTTATGTTAATGTCGCTGTTACTGAAACATCCGGTTCTACAGTTGCTAGCTGCAGTTAGCTTTAGCTCCTAGCGTCACACTTGGCGACATCGGAGTTAGCAGATTTTCCGGTTGGCTGTTCCGACAGCGCTGCTCCACGTAAACATAGCTTTTATTTAAGCTAACCGTTTACACTATCGACAGAGTAGTACAGTTGTAGAGGTCTACGGAGAAACCCCAACAATCGGTACTTTGGCGACTGTGGGAAGGAAAAACCTTTAACAGGAAGAAACCTCCAGCAGAGCCAGACTCAGGAAGGGAGGAAAAGAGACACGCTGTGGATGAGAGCCAGAGAGTGATTAATAATTCATAATTAAATGCACAGTGGTGTGTAAACACATAGTATGTTATTTTATCTTATTCTATTCTAGTGTATTTCTTCATTTTTGCTGTTTGTAACTTTGTACTGTCCACTTTCTGCTGTGACCCAACAAATTTCCCACGTGTAGGAGTAATAAAGGTTTACCTTATCTTAAAAGGGGTGAGAGAAGGATAAATACTTAGTGCATCATGGGACTCAGCCACTTTTGCAGCATAGCTAAGGGAGGATTCAGGGTCACCTGATCCAGCCCCGATTACATGCTTTAGCCAAAAGGAAAGTTTGAAGAAAGGAAGCGATAAAAGAAAAGGATAGGGAAGGAACAGGGAGAAGACAGGAGAAGGAAAGAGGAAAATACAATCAGTGGGTAGAGGAGAAAACAGGGAGCATGGGAAGAGTACAAGGAGTGAAATTAAAAAAGTGTGCGCTTCCTCTCGAGAGCAATAATCCCCAGGCCACACTGCAAAGAAGAGTGAGTGGGAGATAGCTCATAGTGGCTATGCCTCCAGAAGGAAGCAGAACAAGAACTGGCTCCTCTTACCAAGAGAGAGGTTCAACAGCATCACAAAATAATATTAAGGGCTTCTCACAAAAGGATGGCTGAGTAGGATACTATTGGTTAAAAAATGTCACTAAGCACCACGCAGGGCGTGGCATACGAAAGCATGA